ATGAGGCCCAGAATGTGCTGAATCGAACACTACGTCAGGCAGTGGTGCGCGGCTACGGAGCGGATCAACGTCAGGCAGAAGAATATGGCTTTAAAATGGAACGAGAGTTCTTACATCATCGGAAATTTGGACGACCATGATATACTTCCGGGTTGCAGGGCATAACAAAAGCTAACTGAAGTGTTTCTCAGATCAACATTCCCGCTGTCCTGGGAACGGAACGACAAACGGTATAAGTCATATGAGCTCTCACAAGCCAAAAACTAGATGCCTTCGGACGAATAGCCTTGTCAAGCGGAAGGTACACGAAGGAGCGCCGACCGAAAAGCCCGATCACGCCAACCGGACGGATATGTGGCGGGCGGGCTGCCGACCAAAAGCGTGCACGTCCTGATTGGTCAGGATTTGGTCCAGTCAGAAACGAGAGTTTTCACCTCCGTGCTTCCCGCCCCATCTAGGGTTACTCCCTGAAAATTTCTTTGGTCTCCACGACTACACCTGTAGGATCCTTCTTTTACTAACATTTAAAACGACCTCAAGCTACCGAGGTGTATTGGGCGCCACATTAGGATGACTGAACCAGAAGAAATTTCATGTAGACACTGTAGTGTTCTGGCTACACAAAAAGCTACTTTACCAGGGGTGTGTGGCAAAGAAATAAAGGTAATAACAATAGTTTCAGTATGAAACGGTAAGTAGATAAGATGGAGCAGACTCATTAAGGATTGTCCTCTTTAAAATATTTCGTCGTTGGCTCAGGTCAGCGAATAAACACTAATCTAATCACAGTTGTCCAGGGGTCTTCTTCCGAACAGTTTCAACTTATAGCTTTCGAAGATAGTAATGCACTTATATACACGGCATAGAACCATATACGTGAGTTTGTATGCCGAGTTACTTTACTGCGACGACGGGTGATGCACTGTATCGTTCAGGATGTTAGATTCTTATTCGTGTAGGGTCACTCGAAACGTGTGCTAACCAACCTCCTTGCTTATTTGATTCCTGGATGAAAAAGTTCATGAAGGTGGTCAAAAAGAACTCGTCCGGAGGCTTTGGGGACGAAT